AGGGGGGGGGGAGGACAAAAAATTGCCAACTTCCCGGTTTTCTACGACCTTGGTCACGCCGCATAGCGGCGCCTTTCCCGGAGATTTTTCACCGCCAACAGCGGTGAAAAATCGGAAAAACAGAAAACGAGCGCACAATGCCGGATCCCAGGAAAGTGAAACGCCGTAATAACACATTAGAAGCTTTAGTAATTGAGACTATCGCGAAAACCAACCCCTAAATTTAATTTTGAATTTCTTCAGCGAGGTAGTTCGTTTTCCTACGGACTCCGTTCCGTCGCCCTTGGTCGGGTAGGATTTACTTAATGCATTGAAGTGTATTGAAAAGGAAAAAAAATAATAAGAAAAGCTGACGAAGCATGAGAGGGAGACCCCCTGCCGATCCCTGTGTCGAGGGTAATTATCCATTTACATTGGCTCATTATCGGGATCATACTACACCTCATTCATTCCTGGTTTTTTTCTGCCTTCTCATTCGCGAACAGGAAGGGAGAGATTTCCTTCCCCCGGGGCTTTTCTTCGGGGATTCCAGCAAATTATTTTCTCGAATTATTCAGCGCGGTTTTCAGTTTTTTTTTTTTCCTTGGATCGCTGCGTTTCTAGCGTCTTAGTCGTGCTTGTGTAATTTTTTTTTTTATTCGTCCGAGATGAAGCGATGCGTGACGTGTTGGGAATGGTCCCGGGTCACCGCTGAATGACAGAGGCGAAGGCGTGGTCCGGTTCTCTTTCATCCGTCGCCGCTTTTCATACCTTGCCTTGGGTCGGGGGGGGGGGGGGGGGGATGCCGGGTTCCCGCGGGGACGGGTCGGACGGTGCCGCGGAGGGCTCCGTGGAGGGTCCGCTCCGGTGGGAGCAGATCTAGGGGGGGGCAGAGGGGGCGGGCCTGCCGAGTCACGACCCCGGTCGTTTTCATGGCACGCTTTGGGGGTGGGGGTTCGTCGGTACTTGGGGGTTTTTTTGTTCGATCGTCGGATCGGTTAGACTCGGTCGAGCAGGTGTGCCGCGGGAAAAAGAGTGGAATTCGATGATGAATGCGGGGATGGGGTGATCCCGCCCTGTTACCCTTCGAAGGAGGCGTGATAGAGATATTTCAAAGGGAACGGAACAGATGGGTTTTCCATCCCACGAAGGGAGAGACGAAGTCTAGAAGTAAATGTGGCCTCGGGGCGGGAGATGATGGATTTTTTTTTTCTCCGACCGGTGCCACTCCTTAAAGGATCGACAGTGATTTCCGCAAATGCCGCGTTTAGAATGCGGGGTGCGTGCGTACGGTTTCCGTGGGAGAAAGGGAAGAGTTGAGATGATATTATCTTCGAAATGGTGCGTTGGGCGTGGGCCGATATCGCGGACGATGGTGTAATTAGCCGATATGTGACGTGCCGACGTGCAAACACTCCGGGTAGAGGTGAAAGTATAGGCTGTCCCCGGAGAAAAAAAAACGTTTGAGTCGCCTGGGCGAGTCGTTCGTGGTATCGGCTTCCTTGGGCGTTTCGAGGGGGAGGGGGGAGGGGGGGGGGTCAGTTTCGAATGGTTCAGTTCCGTGGCGGGTTCTGTAGTTGTGACCGTTTCCGGTAAATTTAATGGAAATGCTGTAAGGTGAGCAAAAAAAATAAAAACGAAAATTCGAACTAATTGGAGCTCGATTGCCTCGAAGGAAGTCCTTCGGGGAAGATGGTTGAAATGGTTCGATTTGAGATCATTGCTTTCCCGTGGCTTTGTAGGTATTGAGCTTTTGTGGGGCAGCTTCGTCCTTTGTGTGGAAGCCCTTTTAATTTTTCATTGAAAACTGTGCGACATCGATGAGGAGAGGCGCACGGTTGTTTCTGACGTCACAGCCCCGACGTCTCTCAATATGTTATAAGCATGATTCCCTCCCCTCCTCCTAGGATTGTGTGGTGGTGAGACAATATGGTTTTTGTTTCTGAGTTAAGTATTCAAAAACACGCTGAGAATGTTGAAACCTCATTTAGTTAGTTTAGAAATCCGTGGACTCTTATTGGGAGGAAAAGAGCTATTTAGCTTGAAGGCCCTTTTATCACACCTAAATGAAGTTTAAGCATTCGTGTCGAAGTCTCGGTATTGTGTGTGTCCACTGCTGGCCTCGATGACGGCTTCAAGTCGCATCCGGCGAGACTGTAACGAGTTTGGGTCGGTGTCGCACCTGAAAGCCGAGGAAACTGCTGTGTTAGGATCATTCGATCTTCAAATTCGTGTTTCGACGTTGAACGCGTGTTTTCGCGGGTTGGGGGAGAATTCAGCTGCCGAGTGACGAAAACAAGGGTCCAGGTCGCTTGGCCGATGCCCAAAAACATTCGCGGGCCCCGGCATGTTCGACCAAAAAACGTTCCAGAAATATTGGCCAAGTGGCACTTGTTAGTGCCAAGTGGCTCTTCTCGCATTCGAGGTGTCATCGTGGCTTGTGGTGGACGTCTACGATACTGATATCGTGTCTGCAGATGTAGATTTGAACACTTAATTCGGAAGTGAAACTCGTTTCGCTTCACCGTCAATAAGTTTGGCAGCAAAGGTTTCGAGGTAAAATGAGCTCTCCAGCTGATTCGGTGGAGCTTGTGAGTCGGACCTCGTACGACATTGGCGAACTCTGCACGAGGGCGAAAGAAACAGTCGTTTGCATGCATTCTGAAGGTGGGTTTCAGGGGGGGGGGGGGGGGGAAACCATCCTGAAACCCGAAAAACTATTAATCTCATGATTTCTTGAGTTTCAGGAAGGTTTTTCCGTAGTTCAACGTTGATGTTATTTGCAGTGAGTTTCTGGTGGGTGGGGCGGGTTGCCTCGAGTGATCGGTGAACCCCGGAAGTCGATGCCAAGTAGTCGCGTCTTTGAAACGTAACGAGAGAGACCGCGTTGCGTGTCAAAGGAGCTTACATCGCAGACGGCTTCTTTGTGTTTGGCTCGGTGTTCGTCGGGGAACGAGGCGGCGACGGCGGTGTCGTCAGCGTGTTTTTTGCCCGGCCGCACACCGGTGAACCGATCTCGTGAGGCGTGTTTCGTGCACGCTTCGTTGGATGAAACACAATAGGGTGAAGGAGTCGAAGCATGCTTCACCGGTGAGCGACGCCCAAATGCTAACTATAGCCAAAGAAGCATGCTCCATACATGCACGATGTACGAAAATGTTTCGACCGACCTTAGGAGAACGCTTTTACTTCTAAACGAGTCAGTTCGGCACGTAAATGCTTGGAGACCCACGGGGTGCCCGATCCAGCTCGGTTCAGCTCGGGTCGTGGACTCTCGGGGTCGACGATTCCCGGACGGTCTCGTTGCTGCTGCAAAGTCCAAAGTCATTCGGACAATTATTTAGCTTTTTTCCTTGCGAATTCCACCGGGAGTGCCGCCCGTGTTAATTATCCTCTGTGGTAGACGTATTGATGACCATCAAGTCTCGTTTCGCACCCCCCGTGGTGCGGATCACCACCGTTCCATCCTGTGGTTTCGGTAATTCCGGTGAGACAGGGGGCCCTCGAGCCCTTGGGAAGGAAGAAGAGCAGTTTCTTTTTCGGAAGCATTGCAATTTTGGCACGTTTCCAGTATTCTTTTTTGGTTCGAGTCCGACCGGGTGATGTCTGGCGCGTAATTCTTGTAGAGGTTTTTGCCGTCCCATAATATCAGGGTGCCTGGGAAAACCCCGTCGACCCCGGGTGACGTGCACGCCTTCGATCACGCTAATTGCTGCATGTCCGCCGGGAACTGGATATCGACAGGATGCCGGTGTCGCTGCGACATGAGTGATGATGAGCATTTCTAGACTGGAATTCCTGGTGGCGTGGGAAGCAAGAATTTTATGGAGTCCAAGATGTGAGGTGATGCGAGTCCAAGGTGTAGGTGGTGGGAGCTGACGGCAGCGATGATGTTGAAAGCTTCGAGCTCGGATATGAGAGGACCTTTAATTTTTTGTGCGCTTGAGGTTTTCTCATTTCGTTCGGGCTTTGGTTTTTCTATGAACACTTACTCCAATTACTTTGATTGACTCCATTTGTCTGAATGACAGAAATAGGATTTTCTGCGTCTTCTTCACATGAAGATGCTCCTGATTTTACTAAAGACCCGGTCGATTTTCTAAAGGAAGGAGCGGGTTGCGTGGAGGAAGCAAGAAAAAAAAAAGCCTGTGCCTTGAAGACAAAAGGTATTCAGGGTCTCATGCTCAGCCAAGTATGTGGCCATGATGAGAAAATGTCGACTTACCGCATTATTTTTGACGTCGGCTGCAAAACGCCCCGACCAGGGGTCGGCAACCCCATCGTCTCGAGCCCATTCTGTGGCACGCGCGGTGTGCCTTCCAAATTAGGATGGGGAACAGTTGAAAGAGCATTTTTCATTACTGGGAATAGAGCATTTTTCACTAATGGGAATAGGGGTCCGATTCTTTTTTTCCCTGGAGCTGTCATGGGACTTATAAGTACCCCTCTTTGGTAAGTGTGATGCTTTAACAGGCTTTTGCACTAAAAGGCCATATTATATCATTAGCTGACTCATTCACCTGCCTTTTAGCTGAAGGCCTTGTTATGTCTTACGGCTCCTCTGCCTAAATGACGGTGCAACGATCGACCCTCGGGCTCTTCCCGGGGTCCCCTGGGATCGCATCGCCAGGCACCTGACCGTCCACTCGTTCCCCTTTCCCCGAGAAAGAATTCCCCCGTAGATTGCAGGAGGATGACACGATTTACTCGGCAAGAATAAATAAAATTCGAGTGACTGAAGCTTTCCCGTCGATGATGACGAGAAACAAAGTTTTCTTGAACGGCGAAAAAGACTTTTTGTCATGTTATACTCTTTCCTCTGTGTGGGTACACACGGCCAAGCCTAGCATTACTCTCAAGAAACATCCTTATTTTTGCGCTCATGAAACCGTTTACCGTTTATTGACACGTTGTGGAACGGTTCCCGACCCCGAATTTGAACTTAAAAGATGAGAAGCCCAGGAAGGAGAATGCTCTGGATCGGAGAGGGAGGCACGAAACGACCGAATAAAAGATCACGTATGCTCACGGGAGGAGGAGGAGGATATAAGATGACGGATGCTCGACGGTGGGGGCTCAGTCAGGGGCCGGGTCCCGTCGCGAGAGGAGAGTCGTCCCTCCCCGCCTGGCTCGGATGACGGGGTGCGTGAGTCTGGGTTCTGGTCCGTCCGTCGTATTCCTCGTCCGACTGTGAGGTTCTTCGTCTAACCTACTTTGTGCAGTGAGGGCGACATGAGCTCCGCCGGCAAAGCAGAAACGGGTATCGTCACGATCGTCTTTACTTTTCTGTTTACTCCGTTCTCTTATTTATTTTTTTTTTGTTACTGTGTCCACGATCCGCTCGTTTTTTTTTTTTTCGTAAAGTACCAGTGAACGAATTTTCATTCTGGCTAGTCAAGTAAAGGATCCGTGTGCCCCCTGCCGTTTCTGCCTGACTCGGGGGTTAAGCTCAAGAGAGGAGAGCAGTTTTCCTCATCCCCCCCGCAGCCAAGCAATCGGCAACGGTGGAATTCATAATGGCATCGAATGAAGGTTCTTTGCACGGTGTTCAGAGAATGAATGGACGTTCCTTTGTTTGATGTGTATGAAATCGCTAAAGGAAACGCCTGAGGGATTCATTGCGTTTGATGGACTTCGATATTTGTTTGGGTTGCGACTGTCGAACTGCCAGGATATCCGTATTTAAAATGTCAATCTTGAGTACTATCTTTCGTCACACTGTCCATATTATCCGCCGATGCAGCATGCACGTGTGCTTTGATAAGGGGAATTTGACGTGGATAAGGTAGAAATAAACAAGGCGACATCGAGGTCACCTGGACCCCTGCCTGCTCTCTCTATCAGGTTCAGATATTCGACGGCCACATTGCGGATACGTTAGCAAGTATTTATTGGATGTTTCGTCCCGTGGGGTACTGATTGGCCCCAAAAAGTGACCTCTAATTGTCACATTTGTCGAAATCTGAGGTGCTGGATGATTCTTTGTCCGTTGTGGAGGGAATAGAGTAATGGATATGGATGGAGTAATGGTAATGGATTTTTCTTTTATTCTTATGGAATAATTGTCCAATTTCGGCAAATCTGTAACTGTAATGAAAAGCAGGCTTTGGTGCAGCGGACATGGGAATGTGACCACAAAAAAAGAACAAAAGAAGCAACTTCGGTATCTTAGTATCTTGGCAATTAATTTGTTGCGTGTAATTGTATGCTTACCAAAGATAGGTGTACGCCCCAATCTTCATAAGTAACAAATTACCTTTCCTTTCTGCACTATTTAAAGCATGCCAAAATTCCAATCAACTATTCTTTTTCCCAGGACTACTTGCTGCGGGCGCGTAGGCGTGACATGAGCGATTCCGTAGTGACTGATGTCTTTGTCCTTAGTATCAACTGTGGGATGATTGGCAAAACGCATTAGATCATTATTCACGGGACTTTCCCTCTAATGCGGGTGTCCACCCCCGAAGTCTCGTACGATCCGCTACTGATTTCAATAAGAAAGTTGGACATTAAAATGGGAAACTTCCTCGTGCCGAGTCATCGCGTGGGGCAAAATGCTGGTAACGTCCGGGATCTCTTCCAGTCATCATTATGACCTTTCTTCATTTTACTGTTTCCTGCGCAATATACTCGTGTCTCGTGGTTAGTCTGGCTTCTCGCTTCATCGGCAGCATGTTCAACCAGAAGGAAATGGCCTATCTCCTCCAGAGAGCCAAGGAAGGTGAGCAAGTGCATCTGCCCCAAAGGAAGGGTGGATTCCCCAGTTCAGTGATCTCGAAATGGCAGATGGTGAAAATCATCAGGTGTAAAAAGGGGAAATCCTCCCATTTACCTTTACGAGGGGGGGGGGGGGGGAGCTGCAAGTGGCCGTAGGGAAATGGGGGGGGGGGGGGGGGGACCGAAAATGAGTATAATTTCTGAACGATATGACACAGCATTGTGCAAGGAATGAAGTGAAGCATCGTGCGCCATTACGAGGCTCTTCAGAAATGTGAGGGTAGTCGCCTGATTTATTCGCGGCGTTAACAGTTCGTCGCGTTTCCCCCCCCCCTCCTTCCCCTCCTTCCCCATCTGCGGAGTGGGAGGAAGATTCATTTGTTCCCCTTTGTTAGCAACGGAAGGCGGTGCCAGGAGTCATCCCTCCTCGGGCCAGGAGTCGCCTCTCCTCGAGGCAGGTCCTCGAGCTAACGATGGAAGATTATCTAGCGTTTAGCACTTTCTTCTCGAGATTTGTTGCCGACGATAAAAAAAAAATACATCACGGAGTTGGTCGATTCGATCGTGCTTTATTCCGGCAGATTGCCGCCGCGATCGTTCGGGACAGTTTCGGGACAGATGCTTCGCCGTGTAGATATGATCTGAATATCCATGAGCGCTTCGAAGGGGGTCTAGACGAGGCCGGACTGGCGTGCCCGATTTGGTTTATTAGCCAGAGGCCGAAAATGGAATTGTTGCGTGAGCCGGAACCCTTCATCCAAGAGAGTGAGAGAAAGGCATCCGTCTCACCTCAACACGACGTGGAACTGGATTTTTTTTTTTTTTTTTTTTTTTTTTTTTTTTTTTTCTTTNTTGGTTTTTTTTTTTTTTTTTTTTTTTTTTTTAGCCGCGCTCATGCGGAACGTGCGGAAAATTTAGCATGGCATTTATCGCATGTTGGTTTGATTTTTTTTTTCACCCCCGAAGTCAGATGGGGTTATCTGTTTCCATCGTGTGATAACCCCGAGGGATCGGTGTTATTACCAGGAGGTGCCCACGGGTCATCCGTCTTTCGCAGTTCGACAAATGCCAGATGGTATCGGCCTCGGCCAAGCGCCCTCATTAGCCTCGCGGGTCGAGATCGGGAGTGTCCGAGGGGATTTAGTGGTCGAGATCGGGATTTCTCAATTTCTTATTGGCAAAATCGAGACGGAAGCCTCGTTCGCTTTGCACGACTCGTGCAAAGTTTTCGGTCCGTTTTGCAATCTCGGGCCCCGTAATTTCGAATGTAATAGGTGCATACCGTGTGTACTGTGAAGAGAAGGTTTATAATGGATGAGGTCGTGAGGTGGCCATTTCATCTCATGTCGGTTCTTCACTTCGTAGAAAGAAGGGGGGGAGAGGAAAAATTTTTAAATGTCGGTCATGACTCATAAGAAGGCCTCCTGCCAGACTCGATATCCTCTCTCTTCTCACGATGCTCTCCCATGCCCCTTGCCGTCCATAATCGTTTTATGTCATTCATCTGTTACCGTTCCGCCGGCTTCCCGATGGGATCGGGCTGGGATTTTTCCCCCCTTCGGCTGGCGGGTGTGTCGTGGGCACGCCGACCGCGAGAATCCCCACAGCGGACTTTCCTTTCGTTTTTGTCCGAGTCGCCGCCGATCGTCGGCCGCATTTAATTGCTCTCCTCCTCTAATGAGCTGAATAATGATGATGCCTGTGAAGGATCCATTAGGTCCACCGCTGCTTCCGTTTTTCCTCTTGTGACCAGGCCTTTTTTTTCTTTGAGCATTCCGACCGTGAAGCGGGCTGGAATGCAAGGAAGCCTCGATTCGTTTTTTTTTTTTAAGTTTGCTCTCTCACTTTCTATTTGGGGAGACCGTTATTGGTTTTTAGAGTTTCCTGGGCCGTGGGGGGATGGGACGAAGGGCGTGGGCCGATCAACATCTGCACCCCGACAGGGTTTATCTGCATGTCATGAATTTAGAGTCTCTCGCCATGGGAGGTATGTCTATAAATGTAATCCCACCACGTGCTTTATGGATCCCCGACGGCCAGCGATTTTTTTTTTTGACGATTGCGATCGGAAGAGATACACCACATCCTGGGATCCTTTTCCCCCTTTTATTTCTATTTTTTGCTATTTCTGGAACTCGTAATGGGGAATCCTGTGGCGTGTTCTGGGAACCCGACGAGTCGATTACAGGGATTTGATCTGACGGATTTCTCACGGGTTTCCTACCGTCGTTATGATGATGCCCTCCGTCTGATAATCCTCGAATGTCTGCCTCTCACGCCCCCCACCCACACGCCCACAGGACGACGTGATTTCGGTGCCATGTGGAGTCTGAAGTCTGTCTTGGGGGAAACCGCGTAATGAGGGCATCGATTCAGTGGTGTACTTCCATGGGAACCGGTCGAAAAGCCCTACACACCAAAGAGGGAGAGTGTAATAAATGTAAAGTCGGTTCCGGAGAAGAAGCCTCCTCCATTAGAGGCCATGTGAATGATTATGGCTGCGGTTCCCCCGTTTCCAGGATAAGTTTCCACCTATACAAAACGAACGCGAATGCGCCTGTAAAGCTTGGCTGCTTCCCCCCCCCCCCAGTCATCGCGGTACAACCCGAACTAACCACACCCGAATGAATGCGAAATGAGGCTCTCGGAGCGCACGGTGCGTGCATGATCTCTCGTTTCCCATCGCAGGAGACGCGGAGTGCCTGAACCTGATCCGGCAGAGCCTGAAAGCGACGCACGTGTCAGACGAGCAGGGATTCGACTCCATCACTCCCCACATCTTCGTCATCCTTGGCGCTTCCGTGAGTCTTCAGAGCGTTGCGAGTCCTTCATTTTTTAATATACCGTGTCGGTATGCAGTGCTTCGTTCATTAAATTTTCAATGGAAGTTACATAAATATGATATCTCCCTGCCAACTTCTTAAATTGAGTACTTTTAAGTACTCATATTCCCCGGAAGCAACAGTACTGATGCCAGTTTAAAGTTCTTGAGAAACTTATTTCGTGAATTCATTAGCGGCCCCTATCCGTTACGCACGGAACTGTGGCGAATCGGAACGGGTAACGATACCGATCGCCTGTCTGTCACACCTTGAAGTTGTTCTGAATGGATTGGAGTCAATATTGCGTATGAGTCATGGATCTTTGCATGCTACTCGGTGGGTCGCCGCGGGCCATTTACCTCGAACACACTCATTAACCATAATGATAAACGCTTCCATGCCTTCCTGTACGTGGATGCCCGTGCGTGTACACACACGCACGTAAGGCGGTGTCGCAATCGTCTGCTGGTCATTCTGGAAGAAGAAAGACTTGAGGTTTTTCGAGCCGATGAAACCGCTGGAAATGGGGACTTTCCATGCAGAACGAGGGCCATGAATCTGAGGGGTGGCGATTATTATACACGGCTGAGAGAAGCTTGGGTGGGCGGTGCTTTTCACGAGCACGTCCATCAGGGGGGGAAAAAAAAATTTGAGGGGGGAGAGTGAAAAAAAAAAGTGTGTGTGGACAAGGTGAGAAGCCGAGGCGTGAATGCGGCCAGCCACAATCACGACCGAGAGACGTAGAGAACGAGGGGAAAAGGGATTGAGTAATGGATGTGTCTATCTATATTCGCGGATGTTTTATCCACAGTAGCTCATTTGAATGGCGTAGGAAGGGCTGCAAAAAAAAAACATCATTCATCGCGTGCGTAGGCTTGCCATGATGGATGTAGTGTGCACCGGATAGGGGAGGGTGGGGGAAAAAAAGAGAGAGAAAGAGGTACCGAGAGGTACTGCGCGATTTATCACGGAAGGCGATTTGTTTGAGAAATTCACTCCTCCGTGTGAGATATGAGAGCAGTGCGTTGCACAAGAGGAGGCGGGGGCTCCTTCGCCGTGCGGGCCGAGTGCGGAGATAAACAAGAGTCGCCTTCAAGGATCTAATGGGATCTGTTGGAGGAGGCGCTTCCTGTTGGCGCTTTTCTGTCGTGAGGGCGCGTATCGCGTGATAGCGGAATCAAGAGGGGATGTCCTCACGATTGTCAGCGTGTTCCTCCGCTCTTTTTTTTCTGTTATTTCCTTCTTGCGCCGTCTGTTGCTCGTGGTCTTACTGATATTGAATTGAATGGGGTATCGTTTGAAAGTTGTTTGACTTTCCAATTATGTGCGATTTGTCGTCGTCGCAGTATGGGACGAGGAGCAAGAAAGGGGAAGAGGTCTAGAGAATAACTACTTTTCCTGAAGAGACATATAATTAATAGTCTTAACGCTTAAGAGGCGTCAAGGTTCTAAGCGTGCATGCTTGAGTGCTATATTTTATCGCCTTGGACGATTTATATGTCATGCATTGTCTTCGCCATATCGGGTGACAGAACCGCGTTAACACGGAGGAGACCCCGACCCGCAACATGCAGCTTTTCCCGTCTGGTAGCACTCCCTTAAGGCGGGTTTACACATCGGAGTGGACTTGCGTGTGTAAATTGCCCTTGGGCTCGGCACAGACCGCTCCGTACTATATAGCTCGAGAAGTAGCACCTGTCACAGCGGCCTTGACAGCCCAGTGCGCAGTAATAGATCCCAAATGGTGTACCCGGGTGGCATCGAAGTTGCGATCGACTTGCCCGGGTCGGTGAAATCTGGGTACAAAGGTGACGGAGAGATTCCGTAGCGGTAAACGATATCGAAGTTTGGATACGGAATATGAATCTGAGAATTAAATCTGCCGCTCCGGAAGCAAATTTCTGTCGCTTCATCGTTGGGCGGCCGTCGGCGGTGAGATCCTGCCCAAGCGGCAATAGGTAGGCAATATTGCCATGTTGGATGCTGCTGGAGAGCGATTAATGACAGGAGAAGAAAACATTTCCCGGCTGCCGCCGATTTGCCGACGCGTGAAAGCGTGAAAGCTCTGGTTTCGATCCTGTTATTAAAACGGAAGACGAGAGAGGAGCAATGAATTGTCGAGATTGGTGGGTGAGGCCACGGTCTGCAATTAGGGAAAGCCAAAAAGCCTCTTCCACGTCTTGATGAACGAGCTGCCGGACAGTCGTAACCCCTCATTTCGGTGGTGGATCCGGATGGAATTTTGGGGGGATTTCTTCCCGTCTTCTGGATCCGGTTCGCAGATTCTCGTCTGTTTCGTCACGGAGAAGATGCAAATGAAAATCGAAAGCGAAAAATAGCTTCTAGAATCCGAACTGTTTTTGGACCAGAGTCGTCATCGTTCCGGTCGGGTTTTTCTGCTGCCGTTTCAGATCGTATTGCGATTGCAACGCGGACCCGCTTCGGCGAGACTTGAGCCTCTCGCGGGGCGGGGCGGGGCAGTTGCGTGACTACTGAACAATGGGGCTCCAAAAGTTCCATTTCTGCGTGGGGGGCCGAAGAGAGCAGTATCTTTTGGATGACAGGGCACGAACTCCTCAGGTTTGATGGAAAGGTTCGTGGACAATCGGGAGATGAGGAAATTTGTGGAATACAATGGATCACGAACTGGAGCAGCCCCGTATCTTCATCCGTCCCCCGATTAATGGTGAAAGTTACGACTCATCAAGGTCCGATGCCCGAGAAGCATGAGAAAACCACCCTTTCGATATCGGTCGGTACCGGTGACGCAACTAGACCTTTTTTTTGGGGGGGGGGGGGGGGGGAAAGGTTTCTACTGCGTTTGCTGGCCCGCCTGCTGAGCGAAGGAGCGATGAGGTGAGGGGGGTGCCGAGCGAGAACATTAACGACTGCGAATGAGTCCATCGCCCGTCTGGGAAATCTTGGAATGATGAAGATGAAACACCGTGGAAGTTCCTCGAGTCCGCTCGACGCGAATTCGCTCGAACGTTAAGCCGCTTTGGAAACGCGCCAAAGCGACGTGAAGGAGTTGAAGCGCTTTAGCGAGGCCCCGGAAAAGCGCCAGGTCGACCTAATTTGCATAAAGATCGCAGGGGAGCAAACTCCCCTCCCATGTAAATGAGATGATGAAATCGGTTCCCGAGATAATCCGGTGATAATTTTTCAGATCTACATTTTTTTTTTAATCAGCAGATCTGGTTCATTCGATATTTCATACGCAACTTGCCGCTGCAAGTTTCGCTCTAATTGAGATTTAATTTCGCAATCTCGGGTGAAGAACTAGTTCTAGTGATCGAAGAGATACGGCGTTCCTTTGAAATCCGTCGATGCGAGGAAAGGCTGTAAAACCACCCACTTTCCTTTCGGCTTCATCGATTCCCCGGCTCGCTTCGGCATAATTGTACCCCTACGAAAGTGGAATGCGGATCGACGAGAGACCTGCCCGCTTTGCCCCCCTTGCCCCCCTTGCCCCCTTGCCCCCCATCGGCACGCCTTCCCGTGGTTGTCATTCTTGTGCCTCGGTCCGTAAAGGGGGTTTGACAAAGGCGTCATCGCGAACGCGGATCTTCGGGTCAGGGTCTCGCAATCGAATCGTGACGATCATCGCGGCGATGACGAGTGTAATGATGAGTTATCTTCTGGGTAATTCCCGTCGTTTCCGTCACGATTCCTCGTCTCGATTGCGGTCTGGAAATATCATTGTCACTAACCGCGACAGGGGGTTGGGAAAGCCCGCTCTGCCAGAACTGGGCCTTGCACTTTCGAAATGAGATCCGATAGCGACGCGCTTCACCCCGGGAATCTTATTTTGCATACGTCTCGGTAATGCAGTCGACTCATTTACCACCTCGAGTCGAAGCTGGTTATTTTTATTTTTATTTGAATTCATTTATGCGGGTGCGCCCCGAAGGCTCCACCAAGGGCCCAACCCTTAGCCATTCCTTTGTGTCTCTTTTTTTTTTGCTGCTCGTTGCTCTCGGTCCGGAGCATGCCATGGTATAAAGAGGCCAGTGGTCTGCATTCCGAAGCTCGACTGGAATCGTCGTGAGATTCGAGCGGAGGAAATCTGGGAGATTTGCAGGACTTCGTTCCGTGAAATTTAATGATATCGAGAGCACGCAAAGGTCGTAAAACGAGTTTTTGAATTTGAATCAAGGTTTGAGGTCTCTTCTCGGCAGAACTTGGGGAAATAATTAGAGCGACGACTTCTACCTTGTCTGGCCGAGCTGTAACAATGCTCCTTCCGGCCTGGATATGCTCTCGGGGCTGAAAAAAAAAGAACATGAGAGATGATAGGGGGGAGGAGATGGATTTCGGTCTTGTCACGCTCCTAGCAAAGTGGGAACGGGGTTCTGATGGATGAGTTGTTGGCGTGATGCCCCTCATCACCTGCCATCCACGGAATTTCCTCAAATTGCTATGGACTCTTACATGATCTCACTATCCATTTTTTTTTTTTTGGAGGGTCTACCCCCTCGGGAGATTTATTCCATCGGTCCTCTGACCTCGTTGACTTTCCAGGACGGTTAATTCCATAATTGTCTTCCGTCCCTCGCAACTTTATTTCCGAAGCCGTTCGCTCGAAAGGGACGAAAGGTCATGCTTGCCAGGGGTAATAGAGAATTTTCCGGCATCTCATCCTTCATCGGGCTCTCTCCCTCTCTTTTCTCTCTTCAAAATTGACCCTTATATAATTACAGCTTTACCCCACATTCATTTTTACGAGATTTTTTTTCTTTTTTAGGAGAGTGTATTCAGAATTTCATGCGTTTTTTTTTCGCTTCGCAGGGAGACTTGGCCAAGAAGAAGATCTACCCCACGATTTGGTGGCTGTTTCGAGATGGACTCTTGCCCAAGAACACCCTCTTCGTCGGCTACGCCAGGAGCAAACTCACTCTCGAAGAAGTTCGGGGGAAGTGCGAATCCCACATGATGGTCAGTCCGCGATTCCTTGTTGACATGGCGTGCGAGGCCGTTTCGACTCGCCACGGGCGAAAGGGAGTTATGAAAGTGGATAAGAATAGGTTCCCCGTGTCGTCGTGGTCGTATTTGTCACAGCTCCCACCCGCTCATTAGTCTTGATCCGGGACATGACACGCATCCTTCATTAGGGGAGGGATGAATTTCGCCGGTGATGAAAGGGGGCCCATTGTGCGTTGCGGACGCGATTCCTTATATGGAATCCTGAGAGAGACGAGGGAATCGAGTTTGGGACGTGAATGTTTCGAATAGTCCAGTTATGAAGTTTGAAAAGTAGAGTGGGAGCAGTCGATCTCCGTCGTGAGATTAAAAGGAGAATAGTCTAATGAATAGGTGCGAGGTAATAACAGGTAAGTGAAAATGGCACTGGCTTCTGAGAAGAACCATTAAGCTTTAAGCTTTCAGCTTATTCTGGTCACGCAAAAAAAAAAATAATAATCTCGTACCTCCAGAAAGAATGAGGCTATACCTCATTGCCCACGAGGAAGTCTCTAATGACCTTCCGGTCCCGAAAAAGAGCAGCATCATCGTGTCATGCCGACACAGGGCCCACTCAGACGCAGAAGATGAGAATAAGCCATGTGATTTAGTTTGTGTATGACCACCCGTGAGTCAGCGAAACGAATTTCCCCGAAGGTGAAAGGAGCGGAGCAGGAGAAGCTGGAGGAGTTCTGGGGCGCGAACCGCTACTTCCACGGCTCGTACGACGTGAGGAGGGACTTCGAGTTCCTCAACCAGGAGTTGGAGAAGCTGGTGAAGGGGAACCGGGCGAATCGGATCTTCTACCTGGCCCTGCCGCCGTCCGTGTTCCAGCCCGTCACCACGAACATCAAACACACCTGCATGGCACCGAGGTGAGCCAGATTTAAAAGGAGTGGACGCCCTACAGCTCTTCGGGGGGGTATTGAAAAGACGAGGATAGAGTCCCAGCATGATGCCCGAGATGAAGTTCTGAAGAGAACAATGGGGGGATCGGGATTGAATCATCACGCCATTGTGGGGAGGCATACCTTCATTTAAATTGCGTCCCTACATCGCCTTCTCTCTGTCGCGGCTCTTCCCACATCAGTCTTGCCGGCGAATGAGTTCCGGCTGGGGGGGTCAGAGTGCAGTTCTGAAACCCTCGCGTCTTTGTTTTTACGAATGCAGGGGTTGGTCGCGGGTGATCATTGAGAAACCCTTTGGGAAAGATGCGACGTCCTCTGCGGAATTGTCTCACCACCTCGCATCGCTCTTCAAGGAAGAGCAGATCTATCGAATCGACCATTATCTGGGCAAGGAGATGGTCCAGAACCTCATGTCTCTCAGGTAAAGACGCCAAGGTGGTTTCAGCAAATTTCATATTGACTCAAGAGGAATCCTAAAATAAAATATTAAGGTTGTAAAAGGATGTGAAATATGAAATAATTCAGTGAGGTAAAGTGCATTTATAAAAGTTTCTTTTTTTTTCACCTTCATCTCTGTCTCCCATGTTTTCTTCTTCACCAAAATTCAAAAGCTCAGCATGACTACTGGTCACTCATGTAAACATTTGTAGTAAAGACCCTTTCCACAGGGTTAGGGGTATCTCATGCTGAAAATGTTGAAGTTGCCCCAAGAGGCTTAGTTTATATAATTTTAGAGGCTCAGAGGTTCATAATAGTCAATTAAAAGTTTTTTTTTAATTCACATTTCCCATATCACTTAACTTACTTGATTTTTATTTTCAGGGTGTGAGTAACAGCTGTGGAAGATATAGTGATGAAAATTTTGAAAGTGCTGCTCTAAAATGCAATTGACCTGTGAGTAAAGGTGCAAATTTTGTAGATTTCTTTATGGGGCAAAAACAAACATTTCTGCTAATACTTCAGTATTCAAACTCTACCAACAATTTTAAAAGAAAGTGAACTCTTAATTTATGCAAGGGTTCATCAGGAAGATCCAGAACAGCATAAACACCACTTGATATAGAAGCTGAAGCTACTGTTTCACACTCCAAGAGGCATTGTGTAATTTTGCTCATTTGTTCACAAGTGAACCAAAGCAGCACTTTCAAATTTTCACCAATAAACCACCCACAGCTCTTCTTCATGCTCTGAAATAAAAATCAAGTTGAAGGGTATTGGAAATGTGAATTTAAAAAAAAGACACTTTTTCTGAAAAGTAATAACATTTGTAAAGCATAGCAGTAATAAATGTAATCAAGTAATAAATGTTATCCTCAAATTTCTCTTGTTTTTTTATAATATGCTTTTTTTTGTACTATTATAGGAAACAATGTAGTTATTAGTTATGCTGTCCTTTTACCAGTAAGTTTTTCTTAAAAGTCTATTCAATTTTGAAATTTATATTGTAATTTTTTTATGTTAAGAAATTAGGCCAGTATAAAAGCAGTATTTTACCTGGGACTGGAAGTAAAGATGCCTTATTTTTTTCCCCATCTAGATTTGGGAACCACATCTTTGGGCTGTCGTGGAACCGGCAGAGCATCGCCAGTATCCTGATCTCGATGAAAGAGCCCTTCGGCACGGGAGGGCGTGGCGGATACTTTGACGAGTTCGGCATCATCCGAGATGTGATGCAGAATCACCTCCTCCAGATCCTCTGCCTCGCGGCAATGGAGAAGCCCTGCACCGCCTCTGCAGACGACATCCGAGACGAGAAGGTGGTTTCACCCAAACTGCTCGATGTGTTCATATGTTCTCTGCATCATTATCTGAACTGTGTGGTATCTGGATGGCAAGGAAATGCAAAATTATGTTCTCAAATATCATCTCTTGAGTAGAACCTGTTAGGACAACATAGCTTTTTTGCACCTAAGAGAATCTTAAAATTGTATGGTAGTTGACTGTGATGTTTAGTATTAATGAAGTAATGCTAGGATACACATGGGTTTGACATATGTGATTGTATAAAATTAGTGCCTTTTGGTTGGCTTTTGCCACTCATCTTTTCTCTGGCACAAAGCATGTGCTTAATGGGCTAAAGCAAATAGAGCTCATCTTTGAAGAAATAGGAGAGCTTCTTGGAAGAATGGGCACACTTATAAGGTTAAAAGAAAAATCCAAGACTATGGATAGGAAAAGAGAAGGGACATTTATATGTGCTTTCTTTCTGCAAAAGTGAAGTAAATACTCAACCTTTAAATTCTCTGTTGCAGTAGATGCCATTTATTAGCAATCCTGATAAAGACAGCTTTTATTTCCTTGCAATTTTCTCCTCTGAGTAGATCCTACCACATTGACATTAACACCCATGCAATGCAGTTAAGTGCCAGTTGCTGGGAAGTTTGATGTGCGTTAAAACTACACATTTGACTGATGTATTAATCGTTTATTAATTGAAATTTCACATATTCCCTGCATAATTCTGATGTAAGAAACTTGAATCAATGAATGCAATGACTTCGTGAGAAAATTGAAATTAGGTATAATGTTGGGTGACATGCACCAAATCCATTTAAGCTAAATTTATCTAATCTCACAATGGTACCCCATGGGAATCAGTTTAACAGAGATAAACTTATCCCCATAGACGCCCATTATGAAAACGAATCAGTTTAAAGTTAAACGAATCTGATGCATGTCACCCATTGTCTTATCTCACCAGGCCTGTCACATTTTTGCCTTTTTCCACAAATTAGTTCTTCAAATTTAATTATTTTCATGCTCTGGTTATGCGCATCCAAGAATGAATCGTTCACTAAGTCTGAAGAGGATCCATTCCTGGGGAGATTTGAACTTGTAACAAAATTTTCAAATTTTTTTTGGCTTTTTTTTTTCTTTAGTGATGTGATGGGATTTGGCGTCTTAGTTATTGCTGAAACGCTCCATCCATCTGTTGGCAGGTGAAAGTTCTAAGGAGCATGAAGCCTATAGATCTGTCAGATGTGATCCTGGGCCAATACGTAGGAGACCCAGAAGGACAAGGCGAGGCCAAAGAAGGCTACCTCGACGACCCGACCGTTCCCAAAGACTCCCGAACCCCCACTTACGCCATGGCCGTCTGTCGAATCAACAACGAGCGCTGGGACGGTGTCCCCTTCATCTTACGCTGTGGGAAAGGTCTGTCGGTTTTCATCTTGTCATGTCCGCTGTCTGCTTTGGTTGCTTCTAAGTAATATCCCGATCACTATGAAAGTTAATATTTTCAATTGATAGGAGCAAAATGCAGGCTAAGTTCCTTCTTGTTAAATTCATGCTAATAGTAACACTTTATTGCAATTTTTGTATTTTGAAATTTGGCCCAGTAGGAAAGGCATGAGCAACCTCGAGTCTCCTTAGATCTTAACCTTTAGAGCAGATTTACTTATGGTAGTGTATCCACGTGAAAGTTACTCAGGTCATCCCCTTTGATGGCCATTGTCTTTGGTAGTACTTCTAAGAATAACATGAAGAATAGAGAAGAGTCTGCTATATTTACTCGTGCAATAAGCGTTTTTTTTAAATGCTTTTTCCTGCGGTCGATGAGGAGGAGCATTCGGGGAGGAGGAAGAATTCTCTTTCTCGATAATTTTTTTTTCAACATACCATAGGTCATTTACTGAGACGGAAATGGTGTTTGTAGTCAGTCAGAACGGCAGAAGTAAAAAGTAATTATGAAGAAAATATGCAGAGGGAATGGCTAAGTCGATTCGCACACACTTCACTCTGTATCAGAATCTGAGGTGTATGACGAGGAAGATTCATTCGGGGAGCACTCATCCTTCGAGGATGAGCGCTCCCCGTCTTCCCTCTGAATCTTCAGTTCCATCGAGTGAAGTCGATATTCCGAAAGGTTTTTCTCGCCGCTTCGGCATCCAGCATATTTCACGCGCGTTGATAAACTCGCGTAATTGTGCGAACGTCGGCCTCTTTATGTTTCCGAGTCGGAGTCACTTTGGCGATATTCTCTATTCGAAGTTCATTTATCATCCGACGTGAGAGCGCTTCGAAAAGGCGATTCGAGCTCGTGTCGAATGGTCGAAGCACGCTCGTGAGACCTCCTTGGACTTCCGTCGTCTCTTGGAGACGGTCTTCCCTCCTTCCTTCTCTCGGCTTCTGTGGAAGGCGAGAAGGAAGCCACGGAGACTGTCGAGGAGGCTTCGCAATTTACCATTCGCTCGAGCGAGAATGGCTCCTGGGCGATTCTCCCAGACGGTTTCCATCTAGGCAATCGTGAGACTTCTCAGCCGTGCAACCTCTTGGCTCACTTTAGGGAAGGGTATGCGGACTGGGAGGTATTTCCTTTTAGTCAGCGAGGCAAATTAACGTCACAGCGCGCCTTTCCTTCACACCGCTTGTTTTGATGCGGATTTCTTTCATCTCCTTATCATTAACGATTTGATTATATGGCATTTCAAACTAGACTCCCGTCTCGTCGGCGTTCTCGACCTGAGGCACGAGATGCTGATGGTGCTTTCTTGTACGGACGATGCTTTTATGAAATCCTAAGATCTTCTCCTCCGTGTCTCTCGGAAATTTTTGAGCTAGAGGTTTTCCGACGAGGAGAAAAGCCAGCTCGCTTGACGAATCCGTCCATCGTGAAACTTTGAATTCTCGATGGGAGATCCCTTTTGCTCTAGCAGATGCACGGCCTGGATCATCTCTATCGTTGCACATAGACTATCCTTTCGAGACTTAAAACCAACAAACAGTTCTAGAACGAGGCGAAATATTTACACTTCATCGGGGATTTTATCACGAAAGAAATTACTCACTCTTTGACGTAATTGGCCACTTCCTTCTCGATTTCCGGAAATGATTCATTTTTCTCACGAAAGGCCATGAGATTCTTTGGCTCAATTTCGCCTCCTTGATCCACTTCAGTTTGCCGCTTTCCCCAATGTAGTAATAACGACCTGTCGGACGGATGCCCAGTTACTTCGCATCCGGAATCGCTTTTATCTTCTCTCCTGTTGTGTAGTTCGCCGTACATTCCCCATTTTCATTCATAATGAAACAAGAGATAGAGAGGCTGATATGGTGCGACTGAAATGTGCCTATGATATGTTGTCATTTTTTCACACGAATTGGGACCTCAAAAGTGGAGGTTGCGTCTTATACGCGGTGGCGCACTATATTCGACTAAATACGGTATTTTGTGAAAGTATTTGTACAGACAGTGGCCATCTATGAGGACAACTTCGCGTGCAAGAAACGTTCATACGAGTGCAATAACACATGTAAATCCACCCTGAAGCACTTGTACAGTGCCTAGCCTGAACCAGGGTATCATTTCCCTGTCTGCCTTCACAGCTGGATGATCCAGTTTGAAGAAGGCCACACATGCCGGCATAAAAAGGGGTTGGTTCCTGGACTTGAGCCACCATATTTGGCATTCCTACACGTCCTACTCTCTTCCCATTTAAAATATTTGCCACATCCTCCTTTTTCCAGCAGTCATTGATACTGGTTCATCCATTGGGGGAAAATGAATTTAAATGGAAGGGAAGTTAAATTTGGGCTCTAATGTGGAACCACAGTACGAAGGCTTTATCTCTACTTGACCATCAGCGCGAGTTCTTGTCTGTTTTCATTTTCAAACAAATTGAATATTTTGAGAAGTCGCTCAAAGCTTGGCTGTGAAAATCCATATGTATGAAATTCCGCAGATCTGTTGGAAACATATGCACAGTGCCAGTTGTGTGGAAATAGATCCAATGAGGGTGGAACTATTTAGATTATGTCATTGGTCTCTATGCTTTACGTTATATATTACAAACCTGTTACTATCTGTCCCATATGTAAATTCTTTTAAATAGGCTTTCATCATTCTTTTTGTTTTAGTACAGTCTCCCTAAGCATATGGATTAAGTTTTCGAAGTCGCTGTGTCAGAATTGTACCCTTTGTAGTAAAGGGGTGGAATCAACTTCGAGAAGTTGAGAGTCTTTTTATTGACTATGTCCAGCCTTGAACGAGCGGAAGGCAGAGGTGCGGATTCAGTACCGTGACGTCCCTGGAGACATATTTAAAGGGGAGACGAAACGCAACGAGCTTGTGATGCGAGTCCAGCCCGGTGAAGCAGTCTACATGAAGCTCATGACCAAGAAACCGGGTATGACCTTTGACCTCGAAGAAACCGAATTAGATATGACTTACAGCGCCAAGTATCAGGTGAGACAAGTAACCTTAGCACTGCATTCTTTGAAGGTTTTCACTCGATTCAAATGATAAATCTTTTTTTTTTTCTTCAGAATTTGAAGCTCCCAGATGCATATGAGCGGCTGATCCTGGATGTCTTCTGCGGAAGTCAGATGCATTTTGTGCGAACTGACGAATTGGCCGAGGCTTGGCGCATCTTCACGCCATTGCTGCATCAGATTGAACAATCTAACATCAAGCCTATCCCTTACAAGTACAAACTCTTAACATTTATATTGTCGTATCAGTTGTAGTAGAAACTTGATGTTTTTACTGTACTTGATGTTTTTGTTTTCGTAGGTTTGGATCCCGAGGTCCAATCGAAGCAGATGAGCTGCTGGCCCGCAATGACTTCAAGTACTCAGGCACCTACGTCTGGCGTAAGCCTACTTTCATGTAGCAACGTGGTGTGGGTGCATGTTCTCCATCCCACTCACAGCCATTCCCTTCGTCATTCCCATTCTTGTGATCCCGTCTCTGTCATCTACCATTCCTTTGATTCACAGAAATAATCTTCAGCAATCTGATCGATCGATATTTTTGGATGGATATTTCTGTTTGCATTGTCTCCATATGGTACTGAAGAATGTGCATGTTTAGATATGATCCAGTCATAATTTGTTGTATTTTCGAAGAAACAGCTGGATGGTTTTTCTGCATAACGTTAATCAAGTTAATTGGTTAATCAAGCATCTATTTGCACAGTGTTGAACATGTTCGCATGAAATCGAGTTGATACCTCAAATTGTTTCAGCAGATTAGAACTGGTATTGCTTGTGTCGATTCATACTCGTGTTGGTCACGCTGATTCATTGATGCCTCTGTGTGACTGTGGACTAAGGACTAATCTTTTGGCAGGCCACCAATGCAATATTGCCTTATGAACATCCATCTCCCATTTGTGTATGTATTGCTTGTTTCCCACCTTCCCCTTCATAAATAAGGGACCAAAGCATTTCCATCATCTCTTTTCAGATTTCATTGTCAGAAAGTCTATTTTTGAATCTGAGGAGAGTTTTTTAATTTTTTGTCTGATTGAAGAATATGGTCATTCCAGGCTTTAACATTCTTATGTGAATTTGTGTTCTCCTGTTGTACATTTTCACATATTATCCTTGTTGCTCATATCCTATTTTATCCAGATCTCTGTCATGCACAAATAACGAGCATCTAGCTCGATACAAAATGTTTCTATATGCTATCATATTTAATTGCCTGGTAACTTCATGTTGTGATGTGTGGCTTCAGCGCTTGCCTTGACAGAGCCCTCACCAGGTGGAATTGCTTTCAAGAAGAGAAATTTGGCAAAAAACTTGCCAGAGAATCTTACGATTCCAGTCGCGCTTCCACCACAGTGACAATCCAGTTTCACAGCTGGTTGTTTGAAATGTGGCAGTTCTTGTCTATGCTGAAGGCACACTTTCCACTTTGCATCCTATGAAACTTATTTATTATCCTATTTGCTATCCTATTTTCATGTTCGTGCATCTTGATAGCTTTGAATGCTTGAGGCCCCCCTCGGTAGATGATGCTCCCGTGGCGTGGAGAGGCTGAGGTTTGGCTCTGTTGCAGCATCGTTGACGCAGGATCACCAGTCGCTGCTTCGGGACTTCCTGGATGGGCCTCACAAGTACTGGAAGGACCTGGGAGCCTGAATTATGGGGGAAGTCATTGTCAGCTGTGATCACTTCCTTTTTTCGGGTTTTCTGTTTTTTTTTTAGTTTTACTCTCTTCTATGTGGTCTTGGGTCTCAGAATAAATGTATATCTGTCATTTTCCTGTCTAGGTTTTTCCATGTGAAAAAGCTTTCACTTATTTGAGCGAATCTTACAGACCTGATTTTTCAATGAAAAATAGTCATTGCATGTTTCTTTTGCAGATGTGGGTGTCCTTTTTGCACTGCACAAACTTAGGTACAGGGTAGTCCAAAGAAAAGGCGAGTGAAATAAATGCAAGGTATTTGTATCTATCGCACAAGTGCAGAAATATTGCTCTACGATCTATACTTGAACCTGTACGATATACCAAGGTCCAGATATAATCACATGAAATGAAAAGATAATCAAATTTCACACTTAGCTTTTTTTTTTTAGCCACTTTCAGACCCGAATGAAGGTCACTTTCAGAATAATGTACTTTTTGCATTTTTTAACTCCTTTCTTATTCTACTTTAAATTTTTATTTTCTATGTACCGTTTTTATATTTTGTATAATTTTACCATATCATACCATATACCCAGCAAGCAAGGCTACATCGGGCCAACGTTGTAACAACGTTCCAAACGTTCATTCAATGTTTTGATTCAACGTTATGTGTTTAAAATTGTTTGCTGGGATAATGGCGTTGTGGGAACGTTCAGCCAGTGCCAATACAGTGTCGTCAACGTTGAAGGTTCGATTCCAATGTTTCATGACGGTCTGTCTTAGCAACGTTATCGCACTATGACACCTTCTTAAATCGAATTTTTGATAGTATCATGGAGCATGCATCGTCAAATAGGGATTTTTTTTTTTTCAAGAAAAGACCGATAACCTATCCAGTGTTACCGACCAACGTTGACGGAATGCTTCTACTTCCACATGCAGCAGCGTCATTTATCGGGATTCTAGGAACGTGTCCTAAGATGAAAGCTGCCAAGTGCCATAAATCGTTCAGAAGCTTTGATATGGAACATGTCAGTGCTTGCTGAGGAATGTTCAACCAATCTTGAACTTCGACCTGCACCCCACGCCAGTTATGCTAGATATTGGCTCAATGCTGGACCAACATCGGGCATGTTGTCGTCTTGCCATTATTGCCAATATCGCGTAATATTGACTTCCCAACATTGCCATTCTATCATCGATCCAATATCGGACTTAAGCGATGATCCAATGTGCCCAAGTTGCTCGTAGAAGTCAATTTTTAGAAACGTTGAAGTTCTCCTCCAGGCCACTAGATGGAGGCATGGGTCTCGCTTCACACAGTACACAAAAGTTGTGTACTGTGTATTTCTCTCTTTCTATGGAATCATCCCTTACATGAGTGTTTAGTACCTCATCATGTGTCTCTCCTAGTCTCATTATAGCAATCAATAAAATAGGACACTTAATCAAAATTAACGTTCGTACGACGCTGATCGAATGTTCCTTTGTTTGCTGGGTATTATATATTATACATGGGATTACATGCCTGAAAATTGCAAAACTGACGGGTGAGAGAAGGCGAGAATTGAGGTTTGCCTAATTGAGTCTATTGTAGTGTAATATGTGGCGCAAAGTCACGAGAACCCCAAGAAATCACAATGGAAACAATGAAAAGGTCAAGGCCCATCGGAATGGACGCGGAGTCTGAAAGGGTTAAAATGAAACTGGGCCAAAACCGTTCCATTCTCGACTTAGAAGTTGGTGTAAAGCACAGCGCAAACAAGTTGCAGAAGTCGATTTTTTTCCCTTAAATATCATGCATGAATAATTTTGAAATACCTCATTTTGACTGATGGTATGGTTGGTTATGGAATATTCCGAGAATTATGCCAGCATGACGAGCCCTCCCAAACAAAAAATGTTGTAGAGAGACCTATAGACTCCTATAGAATTTTCAGCGTAGTTTGATAAAATTCAATAAACCACTCATCGCACCTGGACAGGACTCTATACAGATCGGTAAGGTAAGATATAGGGGTTAGAAACCGCGCAAGCGGGAAGGATACATGGGTAAACAGTGGCGGCGAGTGGACGAAAAATCTGGGGTGGCCAGCACAATGAACAAGAGAACATTGTTGTAACAATGCACGAAGCACGAAGGGTGTGTTTAGGTCGGTCTTGTCGACTGCATTGCTTCGAGTGGCAGGTACTTGCAATGGTAGGCCGAACTTTCCGTGTCCGCAGTTCATATTGGATCGAAAACACGTAAAAGGAGAGCGGGAATTGAAGGTCCTTGGAGAGGAGAGGCGCATCCGGTCCGAGGAGAAAATTATCGGTCTCACGACTTACATCTCTTGCGAGTTTCGGGACTTCTAAAAAAAAAGAAGGAAAAAAAAAACGCATCTAGCTCATCCATAATGATCACGAAGACTTTATCTTCTGTCTTTTTCATTCGTGGAAACTACATAGATACATATTGGCAATGCGGATTAGGATGACCAAGCAGCTTCCTAATTTCGGGAAAGGAACCTAAAGACGTACCTAGAAGCAAAGGAACCTAAAGACAAGACAGTGTACTTGTCAGCATTCACCCGTTCGTGCGCGATGCAACCGGTGAGGCCAGCCTCCCTGCTACCGTACTCCTGCATTGCGTGCACTATGCGATGTCCCTCATCCATCGCCTACGAGCCAGTGGAGGGCTCGAGGCTCTGGCCTCCTCATGACCTCCCATCTGGTAGGCCAGATAGAGACGTCTTGGTTTCGTCCAGTTTCTCGGTTAACATTTATCGTGCAGTGGAGAGGAAACGTTAGTTCTGCTGGAATCATGCGCGAGCTCGTCCCAGCGTCGCTTCTTCGCTGGAGAGTGGAGTGCGGAAGGAAGCGAGAGGGGGAGGGGCTTAGGTGGCATATTCGACTCTGCTCTCTTGCGGGCCTTTCGTGTTTCAAGTTAATCGAGATGTGGAAAACGCCACAATTCAAGGCGAAAAGCAATTCAGTAATCAAGAAATTTGTAATTTCTTGAAACGAATTTCGAACTGACAAATGCGCGATGCGGGGATTGCGAGTCGATTGGAGGGAACTAAAAATAAATAATAATAATAAAACAAAAGGATGATTGTTTTAACGCTCCTCACGTGCAAAGGAGTCAAATCACTTGAGAAGTTTTCTTCCACCTGTAAAAGATCAGTCATTTTCAGATAAATTTCAGTTTCGAATGAGAATTCCTTCAGAAATCCCCTCAATGGGGAGAGGGAAAGGGATGCGGGGAGCCAAGTGGCCCAGAACCTAGCCAAGTGGCCCACCGCCTGCCAATGCAAACATCGAAGTCGTCGCGAAATGGCTCTTTTATTGCCCATGCCTCCGTCAGCCCCGTGCAGGAGGCTCCCCACGTCATATTTCCGCGACTAAAAATAAATTACAAGTCGCATATATCAAGTCGAGAGAAGGGGGGGCATTGTGGTCCTCCAGAAAAACTCATTCTGAGGGTGCACCGGGGGAAGGGGGGCAAGGAGGGAGGGAGACTCTGCACGGACTAAATCCCCCCGCATTTATTATCCCGACGCTTTGGAAAGTTGGCACGCGGGGAATCCCCGAGAAAACGTGTCAAACGCGCTGAACATGCGAGATACGCACGCGCGGGGGGGACGAGCTCGAGCAATTGCATCGACACGTGAGGGGTCACAAAGTCGAGCAATCCGATAGGCATGTGAGTGGGGACAAAGTCGAGCAATCCGATAGGCATGTGAGTGGGGACAAGGTCGAGCAATCCGATCGGTATGCGGGAGGGGACAAAGTTGAGCAATCCGATAGGCACGTGAGCGGGGGAAAAGTCGAGCGATCGGATCGGCACGTGAGAGGGGAAAAGGTCGAGCGATCGGATCGGCACGTGAGAGGGGGCATAGCCGAGTGATCGGATCGGCACGTGAGGGGGGACAAGGTCGTACAATCCTCACGAGACGCACGTCACGAGGAGCCTCGTTTTTGGCCGGCTCGCAAGGTCATGCGAGGTAAACAACGAAAAAAAAGAACGAGGGGCCATCAATCACTTTCGTCTGTGGGGACATACCGGCGGGGAAGCAGCAGGACTCGAGGAGATGCCATAAGGAGGAATGGAGGACCTCGAACACGGCCCGTGCCATCACTGGGACTGAAGCGGGACGGGACGAGTTTCTACTTTTAGCTGACGGTTTTTACCCTCACTGGAAAGTGTCATCTGTCTTTCTCCACCTGATCCTGTGGGCCGGCTCTTCGCTCGGCTCCTCCCAGCGTGGTCCTTACGAGTCGGATCTTTCGCGTCTTTCCGTCGACTCTTCTCGCGGGGGAAACAAGGGGAGGATCGATGACGGCTGGGTTTTGGCACGGGGAGGGGGATGCACGAGAAAGAATGGGGTGTCTTCATGCGTTTTTATGGGGGATGAAGTCGTTGTGGGGAATCTAGAACGGTGCTCGTTCTTTTTCTAGGTGGGACTGAAGGGAGGTGGGGGGGGGGGGGCGTGCCGGTCGTCTTTTTGCAATTGTCAAAAACTTTGTTCTGTTTATTATTATTAATTATTATTATACAAAATTTCGTTCTCGTTAGGTTGGATTTTAGCAACGTCTACCCTGGAAAAGGCTCCGACGCGACGTGGTCATCGACCCCGAAAACAGACTTCCTGGAAACGGGAGAGGGAAATATTTACTTGGACGCGCTTCCAACTCGAGTCGTCGAGAGGAGAAATTAATGGCGGATCATGTCTGGAGCAAACGTCCATTTAGTTTTCGCATTTAGGCCTGTTGAGCCACCCAGCAGCTGTTCCTCTTCGTCACACGCGAATGAGGAATGAGAAGGGATATTCCTCTAGTTCCTTGCCCTTTTTTGCATGCAAGGAGACCAAGAAATACCTTTT